AGAGGGAGAGAAGGAGGGAGAGGGAGACAAGGGGGAGAAGAAGGGAGAGAGGGAGAAGAGCTGCTGTCTCAGGGGCAGGGGAAGAGGGAGAGAGTGCACACGCACAGACACACCTTTCCTTGCAGAGTGCGGCTGAGAGCCTTACCTCTGTGCTCGAACAAACATCCACATGGTCCAACTTCTCCCAAGAGGAGACCTCTGCCCTGGCCACTGTCATACTGGAGAGTGTGAAAAGCAGCACCCTGGCAGCTTTCCTGAAACCCTCAGCCAATGTCACTCAGACTGTTCAGACGGAACACTTGGGTAAGGTGGCAAGGTTCCATCTGGGTGCTGCTTTTGAGGGGGGCCGTGGGCAATGCTATGCCCCATGGCTTTCCCGTACACTACTTCCCCCAACTGTTTCAAACCTCAGAGCTCACAGAAAAGCAAGTCCCAGGATAGTAACAGCATCTCCCATTTACTGAGTGCCTGGCCTTGAGGTAAGGGTGTGTGTCATTGATTCATTCAACAACTGTCTGAGCCCCACAGTAAACAAAGATCTAGTAAATGAAACAGAGATAGTGCCACTGATTACCTGGCTTACATTTTAAAGGGCTACCTCCAGTTCCATTGTCTATTTTGTTGTCCTGGGGACCCCTGCAGTTAGTGCCATGTCACAGGTGAGAGACCTGAGGCTCAGAGAGGTTAAGTCATTGGTTGTGTTTGCACAGCTGGTGAGTGGCAGAAGCAAATGCAGCCTCTGAGCCCTTGTCCACTCTGCTGGGTTCGTCCAGCCCCTTCCTACTTCCTCTGGCTTTGGAAAACTCGTCTACATTTAGAGCAGCCGGAGGGTCCGGACTCTGTTGCCTTCCATCACTGTTGGCCTCAACCCCAGCTTTCCCTGAGGCGCCCCCTAAGGTGCGAGCACTCACCCCTGCAGCCCCACCTGGGTTTCTCTCATTTGTTTGTGGCTATCATCCTCCCGTCACTCACTCACCACGGGGCTCAAGGTCTTTCCCATGAGGAACTGGCCTTTTTTACTCTTTGCAACTAGGTAGGTGTAACTTTGTGGGGCAGGAAACCGAATTTAGGACCCACTTTCTGGGGGACCTCGGGCAAAGTCTCCCTATCTCCTTTTAGAAATTGAAAGCAAGATCATCCAGGGAGAATGTGCTGAAGAGAACATGATCCTTCACTTCAAAGCCAAAGGGAATGAGATGAAAATTCAGTGCTCTACAATCAAGGAATCTGAATCCATAGGTACAGAGCTGCTCCTGAGAACCAGGGAGGGGGGCTGCGGTGTATCCGATTGGCAAACATTTACCAGTCAACTCTTGGGTTCCAAGACCAGTGAGGTAAGGCCCCTGCCCTCAGGGAGCCAGATATTAAATACATAAAAACTCCCAATAATGGACTACCAAGACCTTGGCTGGCTGGTATGGCAGCCACCAGCCATGTTTTGTGATTGAGCACGTGAAATGTGGCCAGGCTGTACTTTACGACCTGGTAAAGTACACACCGGAATCCAAAGGCTTGATACAAAAAAATGGTGGAGAAAATCTCATGCATACTTCTTATATGGATTCTAGGCTGAAATGATGATATTTTGCATGTGTTACAAAATTAATTATTAAATTTTATTTTACCTGTTTTTGACTTTTGTAAAATCTGGCTACCTGAAAATTTTAAATTACCTGTGTGGTTCATGTTATAATTCTAGCAGACAGCGCTGATCTGTATCAGGGATCGGCAGGCTTGTCCTATAGAGGGCGGATTAGTAAGTATTTCAGGCATGGAGGGCAAAAGAGTCTCAAAGTAGAAAGACGTTCATACACGATATGTAAATGAATGGATGTAGCTGTGCTACAGTAGGTTTCATTTACACGAAACAGGCAGTGACCAGATTGGCCTATGGGCTGCTGTTTCCCACTCTCTGGTGTGCAGGGCTCAGGGAGCAGGCCTGGGACATCCCTGAAGGCCACCAACATGGAGAGGGGAAGCCTACCAAACAGATGAACGAGACTGACCATCAGTGTGGGAGGGGATTTGTATCCCACTGCTCAGTTTGATTATCCCTTAAAGACATAAATTCATATTTGTTTTTAAAAATTTTAATGTTTATTCATTTTTGAGAGGGGGGGAGAGAGAATGAGCGGAGGAGGGGCAGAGAGAGAGAGGAAGACACAGAATCTGAGCTGTCGGCACAGAGCCTGACATGGGACTCGAACCCATGCACAGTGAGACCATGACCTGAGCCAAAGTTGGATGCTTAACCGGCTGAGCCACCCAGGTGCCCCTGTATTAATTTTAAATGTAGCCAAATGTTGCCATGCTCAGAGCAGGCCCCTGCTCTGAGGTCCGGAGGTGCGTGGGGTATTAGAGTCTGAATATGTGTGTTCTTTTTGGGTCATTGATAATCACTACTGAGCAAATTATTCCTTTTTCTTTTTCTTTTTCTGTTTGCATTTAGGGAATATCACAGGGACCATCGGGGTAGCTTTTGTCTCCTTTTCGGGGATGGAGTTGTTTTTAGATGAGAGTTTCTTCCAAGACCCTCAGAACCCCTTGGCCAATTCCCAGAGGAGGCTAAAGATGAATTCTCACGTTGTGCAGGGCATCATGACTGGGGAGAAGCAAGATGGGTTCTCTAACCCAGTCATTTACACGCTGGAGAACATCGAGGTTTGTGAAGTGGTCCCTGTCGAACCCCCATCTACCTACTGAGAACACTTCACCCCACAGTGAGCTTAACTTTCCCTTCTGATAGAGACCCACGAAGGCATCAACCTTCTAGCAAGTCAAGCCCGTCCCCCAAATCCACCTCCAGAGGAGTGGGCTCTCGTGTATATATATTATATGTATATAGTATATATAAGTAGCATATAGTATATTTAATATATATAGCATATATTAAAAAAATTTTTAACGCTTATTTATTTTTGAGACAAAGAGCATGAACAAGGGAGGGGCAGAGAGAGGGAGACACAGAATCTGAAGCAGGTTCCAGGCTCCGAGCTGTCAGCACAGAGCCTGACACGGGGCTCAAACTCACAGACCATGAGATCATGACCTGAGCCTCAATTCCACCAACTGAGCCACCCAGGAGCCCCTATATAGCGTATATTATATACAGTACCTATAGTCACCCACTCATCACTGGGCAAGATTGGGCTCAGATTGAGGAATGTTGATGCAGGAACATTTACAGGGACTTTATTACATTGGCCATGACCAAGTCAGTTGTAGAGGCATCTCTGGTATCCAAGACCTTTCTCTCCATCCTCGCACATTGAAATATTACATCACCCTCCATTCCCTCCCAGACATACCCGCATCTTCTTGCGGGTCATCTTGAGATGACTCTTCAAGTTGGTCATACTGAACCCGTTTGACCAGAGCCTTTACGTTTTCAGCCAAAGCAGACGTTTGAGAGTCCTATCTGTGTTTCCTGGAACACAGATATGGAGGGTGGCAGGTGGATACCCTCTGGCTGTAAGATCCATGAAGTTTCTGAGATGTATACTACGTGCAGCTGTCATCACATGATGAACCTGGCCGTCATCATGGCTTCTGGGGAGCTCACGGTCAGTACCGATTCTCTGTGTTCTAGCTCTCCAAATCCAAGGGGAAAATATTGAACAAACACCCGTTGTGTGTCTCCCATGGCCTTGGGTGTTGTGGGATGGCGTCATGGGGGACAGGCAGGGTGCGCAATGCCTCTGCCCTTGGAGAATTCATAGTTTGGCTGGGAAGCTGTGACATTCACATATGAAAGGAGAAATGACCCTGAACAGGTTAATAATGACAGATCCCATTTACAGAGCCTATCCTGTGTTGGACCCTTTATTTTCAGTTAAATGTTTTCAGGCCATTTTACAGGATGGAGGCTGAGGTGCCTTAGCCCACTTACTCAGAAATCTAAGTGGCTGGGGATGAGACCTGAACCCAGGACAGTCTCCTTCCACAAAACCAAGTAAATGGTGCGAGAAGTTGTGCTATAGGAATCCAGAAGTGTGTCCGTGAGAGCTGGTGATGGGTCAGGGTGGGGATGGGTGAAATGAGCCTTGGTGAGTGGGCAGACGCAGTGGAGGGGGAGGACATAGAGGGCATTTGTATGCTCCCTGCCTAGCTGTGAGCACTTAAAGTATTTTCATTTAGTATCGCTTAGCATATTCATCGGTATCCTCTCTTAACAGATGAGGGAGCTGAGGCACAGAGTAGCTACGTGTCTTTCCCAAGCTCGTACAACTAGCAGCTTCCAAAAGTACAGTCCATTCTCTTAACCACCACAAAACAAAGTAACAAAGTAACAAAGTCATAAGGACTAGCTCGGGAGATGGTGTGCTTTGGCACATGTTTAACACAGAAGGAACTCAGCATTTTTAAATCAGTCATGCGTAATGGCACAGGGGAAGGATCCGGCTTGCCCTGTCTACTCGCAGAAATTGGGGCATCTCAGAACGCCTGTATGGCAGGCCTGGTTCAGTGCAGGAAACAGTAATCGCTCTAGCTATTTCAAATACGGAACAGGATGCCCACAAAATCACAGGGAGGGTTGGAGGCGTTGAAGTCAGGGGTTGCCACTTGGGGCTTAGCTTCAAGATCAGCCCTCTGCAGCTGTAATCCAGAGGTCAGAAATTGCTGCTGTCGGATCACCCCACCTCCACACAATCGAAGAAGGGACAGCTAGAACGTGGAGTCCAGCCATAACTTGCTCCTGTCTAGAAGGCTGGTGTCTGCCTCCATTCTGCCTTCCAAAATTTTCATGCATACACCTCATTGGAAAACCTAAAGAACATCCAGGACCCTACCCCCAGGACATTATGGGAAATGTAGTTTATAGACATCCTGCCCTAATGTGACAGGGGGTGGGACACAGGACAGGAGTGGGAATGTGTGTTGATGGATGCCACAGGATGACGATGGACAATATCTCAGTCACTCTGAGTATCAGAAGGAGAAAAGGTCCCCGAGCCCTTTCTGCCCTGGTCAGGAGTCTGGATAATTCTTTTTTTCTGCCTGGAGGGATGTCGACCCTTCTGTGAATGATGTATCTGCTTCCTGACAGACGGAGTTACCCTTGCACATCATTAGCCACGTGGGTTTGATCATCTCCCTGGTGTGTCTCGTCTTGGCCATTGCCACCTTCCTGCTGTGTCGTGCCATTCACAACCACAACACCTACCTCCACCTGCACCTCTGCGTGTGCCTCTTCTTGGCCAAGACTCTCTTCCTCACCGGTGTAGACAAGACTGGCAACCAGGTCTCACATCCCTCAGGCTGTGTCCTCGCCCAGCCCCACCATCTCCATATCTGCCCCTGCTCATCCTACCCAATAATCTCTATGCTAGGTCCCACCTCAGGACCTTTGCACGTGCTATACCCTCTTTTGATAATACTTGTTCCCCAATTCTTTACCTGGTTTACTCATTCTTGTGATAGGTGTCAGTTTAAAATCATTTCCCTGGTCATGTTATATATTGTGGTGGTCTCTCCTATTATTCTTTAAACTGGTTATTACCTTGGATGATTCTTACTCCTAGGGGACCCTCAGCAATATCTAGAGACATTATCGGTGGTTATCCCTGGGAGAGGGTGCTACTGACATCCAGTGGAGACTAGGGATGCTTCCAAACACCCTACAGTCCACAGAACAGCCCCCATGAAAGAAAATAATCTGGCAACAGTGTTACAGATGTCAACAATACCACAGCTGAGAAACTCTATCCCTTATCAGTCTATTTTTCTCTCTTTCCCAGCTTTTATTTGAAACCATATTGATTATTTGTTGATTTACTTGCTGTATATTCCTTCCCCCCCCCCCCCCCCCCCCGCCAACACACACATAGTAGACTGTGAACCCATGAGAGCAAGACCTTTGGCCAATTTACCCCTTATAGCTATACCAGAAACATAGTAGGTTCTTAGGGTTTTTCCAGAAGGAGCACTATTGACATTTTGGCTGGGGTGATCATTCTTTGTGCATTTTACTGTCACATGTTTAGCGTCCCAGACCCCTTGAGAACTCAATGCTAGTAGCAACGTCCCTCCCATCATTTGACCAGGAGCAAGCAAACTTTTTCTGTTTTAAAGAAGCAGGCATAAATATTTTTCGCTTTGCAGATCCTAGGGTCTCTGTCACAGCCACTCAACTTTGCTGTTTTAGCATGAAAACTGCCATAGAAAATACAGAAATGGATATGGCTTTGTGCCAGTGAAACATTATTTACCAAACAGGCAGCCAGCCTGATGGCTATAGTGTGCTGACCCCCACACTCAATATCTTCAAACATCCTCTGAAGTAGGGCGATCAGCTACCTGTTCTCAAAACTCTCCCGGTTTTAACACTGAAAAGTCCCATGTCCTGGGAGACACCAGTCCCGGGCAAACCCTACCAAAGGGATGAATGAGTAAGTAGGCTGTACTTGGGAATTCGAATCAAAGTAGCACCCCCGCCCTGTCATCTGAACCTGCTCCTTGGAGGGGGCGGGGGTCCTGAGTGGGTGTGCCTCTCTTCTCCAGACGGGCTGTGCCATCATTGCAGGCTTCCTGCACTACCTTTTCCTCGCCTGCTTCTTCTGGATGCTGGTGGAGGCTGTGATGCTCTTTCTTATGGTCAGGAACCTGAAGGTGATGAATTACTTCAGCTCTCGCAACATCAAGATGTGGTACCTCTGTGCCTTTGGCTACGGGCTCCCAGGGCTGGTGGTGGCTGTCTCAGCCGGTGTGCAACCACAGGGTTACGGGATGCATAATCGGTAAGTCATATCCTTCTCTCTCCCTGAAGACCCTGCTGTCATGGTTCACGATGATGATTACACGAACAACAAGAAAAGCAGTAACATTAGTGGTAGTTGTGTCTACCATTTATTGAGCTCTTTATGCTTTGTGGGTCTCAGGGCTGCCGTGTCCAGTAGCACAACTTGCACAGTGCACAACTCCAGGAGCCACTGTTTGCACTATAGAACAGGTGAACGGTGGTGGTGTAAACAATGAAACTCGGTTGTACAGTTTAAAAATCATGGATTCTGGAGCCAACCTGCTTGGGTTTGAATCCTGGTTCCACCACCTTCTAGCTGGGCTACCTTGGGCGAGTTACTTAACCTCTGTAGGCTTCCATTTCCTCATCCATACAATAGAAGCTAACAGCAGCGCCTACGTCATAGTGTTGTGAGGGTTAAATGAGTTATTATCTGCAAAACATTTAGAACGGTGTTTGTCACAGGGCTGCGTGCGAGATGATTTGGGGTAGTATGCTGATAAGTATAATTTAAAAAATATTTTTGTATTTATCTTATGGGGCATCAGGGGGAAAAAAAATGCCAGCATACCAGCCACGCTCATGATATAGACAGGAGTCCATTTGTAAGTTTTAAAAAAATGAACCAACTTTTAAAATCAGGTGAATGACACGATAAGCGGTATGTGGCTAGGGCAGAGACTAAGTCACTGCGTCATATGATAGACCCTGGAGATAGCGTTGCTGTTCTAATTTACAGATGAGGAAAGCGAAGCTTTCTTGCCATTATCGTGAGGACATAAATCTAGGTCTTTGCAATCCCAGGGCCCGCGCTCATCACCCTGTGTTATAGGCATTGCTGAGTTGTGGTTAGGGGACTAAATATTCAGGTTTCCTCCCTGCCCATCACTGATGGTTTATACGTGAGGCCATGAGATAAGGGGTGAGGGAAAGGAATTCATAGTAAGTGAGCACTCATCAAATCTAAATCCTGTAAGCTGTACAAACATGTATTATCTCTGGTACTTCTCAACAGAAATCCTATGTGCGAGGACTAAGAGTCTCCATTGCATACATTGTAAATAATGTCCCCCAGATTTGTGCAGTGTGCAACCTGTGCTGTTGCCCATGGTGGTGCATAAAGTAACAGCTTAATAAATGGTAGCTTCCGAGGAAATAGAGGCTCAGCACAGTTGCCCAGGGTCACACAGCTAGTAAATGTCCAAGCTGAGTTCGGATCTCATTGCCTTGTCAGGGGATGGTGGTGACAGTGCAAGGCCACCATGATGAAGTGCCTGATGTTGATGTGAGTAATATAAGCCCTGACACAGACCAGAGAAGGATGATAGTATATGGGAGTGGGAAGGTTCATGGAAGGCTTCCTGGAGGATGTGGAATTTGAATGAGCCTTAAGCTCTATTGAAATGTACATAGGCAAAGAGGAAAGGTCGTGGCAACATAGGTGAGGGCAAGGGAGGGCTTAGGGTGTGTTTGGAGAGCAGATGGATAGGACTGAAAGATGGGGGGGAGAGGGGGAGGGGCATGGAATTTGGAGAATACCTTCTAGCTGGTGGGAACCACAGAACGTTTTGTAAGACAGGAGTAGTATTGAGAAGGATTTGAGATGACCTTAGGAAGAAGCACTGGCGAGTGGGGCGAGAGAAGGAGCAAACATGGGGTGCATTCTGAGCAGGTGCAGCTGTGGGTAACAGGCTCCATCCCAGTGGGTATCCCTGGGAAACTGTGTAGGGCATGTGCCTCCAAAATCCCACCCAGGGGGGCATATTCATACATCTCTGTCGCAGCAGCCATTGGTCGAGGGCTGCTCCCAGGAGAACTAATTCTCCAGGGTTTTCAGTCTGATGCCTCCAGGAGGAGTTGCAGAAGCTTATAAGGGAATTGGCTGTTATTTACTGAAGCCGTTGTTCCTGAAACAGCAGAGACGGCTTCTTCTGTGCAATCTCCACCTTTTTTATTGCTACGATTTGGAGACTCACGTTCCAGGGAGAGAACATCTGGTTGGCCAACCTTGATTATTTTCCTTCTCTTGTGGGGACAAGGCACACTTCCACTGAAGGAATATTGGGGTGCAGTTCCTGAACGCGGGTGGAATGGTTGTCAGATGGTAAAAACAGGAAAAATCTACCAGAGGCCTGAAGGAAAGAGGCAATGCCTTCTCTCCCTCCTAGTCCTTCCTCCCTTCATTTAAGAAATAATTATGGAATGCCTCATCCATGCCAGGCTTTGCACTGAGTGTTGGGTATTTGGAGACAAACAAAAGCTCGAGGTCCAGATTCTCATACAGCTCATAGTCTGGAAAGGCAGAGAAGGACAATTTTCAAGGAAACAAACACCACCATGATTTATGATACCGAGAGATGCTATAAAAAAAGAAAAGCATTATGCTCTGCTAGAAAAAGATGATGGGCAGGGAGGGTCCCAAGCGGCTTTTCAGAGGAGATGACATTAGAGCTGAGATTTGAATGACCAGGTGTGCCAGTAAAGAGGTCTGAACAGAAGGGAAGAGGTTGCAAAGGTTACGGGCTGAGGGCGAGCTCTACTCTGGACACCGCGTGAACACTTCAGGAACGTTTGCCCAGGAAGAAGGTCTGACAGCAGACGTGGGCCAAAGAAAACTGAACTGTCACCCACCCTGTCATGAGAGCATCTCAGGGTCGGCTGCCTATAATATCCTCCATTAGTGGATTTGTTGGGGCCTGAGTAACTGTAGGGTCAAGAACTAAACAGTCACCAATTCCTGTTTCTCTTGGTAGCTGTTGGCTGAACACAGAGACAGGGTTCATCTGGAGCTTCCTGGGACCAGTCTGCGCCATCATCCTGGTAAGCAAATTGCTTGGTGCAGGGTGTTCGGGAGCAGAAACAAGGAAACCCGAGGAACCAAGAAGTGCCAGTGAATGTTGCCTATAGCTGAGGTCAAACATTCTCCCTTCTGATCCCTGGTTCTTGAGATTTCCAACTTAGAGTGCAATTTCTTTGACTTGTGATTTTTTTTTTTTCTTTCCTCTGCCAACATGCAAATCCCCTGGAGGGGAACACAATCTTATCTGTCTGTTGTGTTTCAGTAAGAATGGGTCTATTGATGTCTTCTGGGGATAGATGTTGAATGAGAGAAAAGGAAGGAAGGAAATGGAGAGAAATTGGTGGGGGGGGGGGGCGGTGAGAAGAAAACAGTGGGATGGAAGAAAGGGAAGCCTAGAGATTTTTTTCAGCTTTTTTCAGCTTTATTGAGATATAACTGACAAATAGAAATTGTGTATCACAAACATAGTATCCACAGTATCACAACTGGGTGGTTTAGAACAACAGAACTTGGCATCCTCCAGGAAGACTTCCATGAACGTTCCCACTCCAGTTTTGGAGGCTGGAAGTGTAAAACCAATGGGTTGGCAGGGCTATGTCCCCTCTGGAAGCCCAGGAGAAGGATATGTTCCAGTCTTATTTTCTTTATTTTTTATTTTGTGTGACACAGGGGGCAGGGGGAGAGGCAAAGGGCAGGGGGTGGAGAGAGACAGAGGGAGAGAGAATCCCAAGCAGGCTCCACACTCAACATAGAGCCTGATGTGGGGCTCAATCCCACGACCCTGGGATCACGACCTCAGCCTAAATCAAGAGTCAGTAGCTCAACCAACTGAGCCACCCAGGTGCCCCTCCATTCCAGTCTTCTAACCAAGAGACTGGTAGACTCAGGAGTCCCTTGGCTTATCGATGTTTGGCTTTCTCTGTGCATGTCTGCCTCTGTGTCCAAATCTGCCTGTTTTATAAGGTTATGTGGGATTAGGGTCTGCTCTAATGACTTATTTTAATTTGATCACCTCTGGTAAAGACCCTATCTCCAAATAAGATCACATTCTGAGGTCCTGGGGATTAGGTCTTCAACAGTTCAACCCAAACAAGGCACTGATCTTGATTCTAACTTCCCATTTGCCTCCATATGGGATGGAAACCAGGGGAGATCACCCAAATGAGAACAAGTAAAGGCTCCCTATTGCTATAGTAAGGGAGTTGGCCACCATCACTTGCAGTGAGTAGAGACTCAGAAGCAGGGAGAGGAGCGGGGAGGCTTTTTCGGGGGAAAAAAGAAGGCTTCCGGTGTGCCTGGTTGGAGGCTGGAGGCCTTGGGACTCTATAGGCAGGCTAACTCAAAGCAGGACGTCCTATGCGAATGCTTAGGGGGAGCATACTGGCTTTTTCCTTTGGGTCCTATGTTGGAAATGAGGGCAGAAGTTAGGGAGGCTGTGAGCCCACAATCAACAGCTGGCTGTTTAGGGTTGATTGCCGTAGGGCTTATTACTTGGCTTCCTGGAGTGATAGCTGCACACTATGGGTTTTTGACGGGTGGTCTGGCCATTGCCCATTTGTACACACCCAACATCTCAGTCCTTTCTGCTTGACTCTGTAGATCAATTCCATCCTCCTGACTTGCACGTTGTGTATCCTGAGGCAGAAGCTTTCCAGTGTCAATGCTGAAGTCTCCACGCTCAAAGACACCAGGTACAGTCCTTCCTTCCCCTCCTCTCTCTCGGTTTCCTTCATTCTTCCCACAAACATTCCCTGAGTACCTTTTGTGTGCTTAGTCCTGTGCCCAGGACAGAACAGCACAGTTTCTAGATCTGGGGTCTCAGACACCAGGTCTGCCACTTACAAGCTGTGTGACCTTAGGCAAGTTACACAACCTCTCTGAAACTGTTTCCTCATCTGTATACTGGGGATATTAACATTGCCCACTTAATGTGGCTTATGAACCATTAATACAGTTACTAGGAAGGGTGAGTATTTCATATATTGTAACCATTAATACATTTTCTAATTCATTTACTGCACATAACTATATGTGTATATTTACAAAAATAGAAGCATACTATCTACTCAATTTTTAGGGCCATTTTTTCTCTTAATGTCATGAATATTTTTTCTATTCAGAAATTCTTTGACAACATCTTTCTCATTTTTTGTAAAGCATTTCAATATAATAATGCAGCACAACTTATTTAAATCATGCCTTATTCATGGACATTCAAGTTGTTACTGTTTTTTTTTTTTTTTTTTTTTTTTTTGAGGGGGGAAGGGGAGGGCTATTATAAACGGTGTGGTCTCAAATACCCTTGTAGATAGATCTTTTTCCACATCTGTGGTTATTTGATCATAACAGTAGGCATGAAATTGCCTGAGTTAAAGGGCAGGTTGGATTGTCATACTTTTAGTATATATTGCAAGTTGTTTTCTAGAAAATTTGTTTCCATTTGCAGGAGTGCTTGCTTACCTACAGCTTAGCCAACACTGGGGTTTATCATTTTTGTTATAATGTTTTGCTGATATAATAGTGAAATATACTATCCTATTATTTTAGTTCTGTCTATATTACAGATGTGGGACATTTTCATAATCTTATAGACTATTTGTGTTTGTAACTTCATCACTCAACTAATCTTCACTTTAAGAACCTACCAAAGTCAGACATCGTCTAGGTTTTATTGTCAGGAAACATATAGATGTCCTTTGCTTGTTTTCCTATTGGTGTCCAGTCCCTCATCCATCTTAAAATTTGAATATTTAAATATTTTTAAATTTTAAATTTTAAATATCTAAAAGTTGATACAGAAAGTTGAAAACAAAGTTAATACATACAATGGTAAGAAAAATTAATCAGTACAAAAGAGAATACATGGGAAATAATTCTCTCTTCCCAGATCTCTCCCACCCTAAGCAGCCATTATCACTTGAATTGAGCTTCCTTCTAGAATATTCTATACTTACACATCCACATTCTGATTACATAAATGATAGGATATTATACATATCATTCTGAACTTTTTTTTCCCCTACATAATAGGTAGCTGATTTCATCTCAATACTTGTGGTTAAAAACTAACAAAAATGTTTTTTTTGCCAGACACTGCTGTAAGCATCCTTAGAGACTTATCATCTCATTTAATCTGTAGAACAATTAATACCACCCTGTAGGTATTGTATTATTATCTCTATACCAACTTGAAGAAACTGAGGCACAAATCCACAGGTGTTCAGAGCCTGTACCCTTACCCCCTATAGTATATGGTCACTCTCATCTCATTTTAAAAAATGATTTTATAATTTGCTTTTAGTCTCTATAGATTTGCCTAGTCTGGATATTTCCTACAAATAGAAGCATATACTCTGTGTCCTTGTACGTCTGACTTCTTTCACTGAGCATAATGTCTTCAAGTTTCATCCACATTGTAGCAGGTTATCAGCCGTCATTCCTTCTTATGGCTAATATTGTACTGTATGGATGGACCATGTTTTGCTTTATCCATTCATCAATAGATGAACCTTTGGGTTGCTTTAGTTGGGGGAAGAGTGGGGTGGGGAACGAATGCTTCATAGGTGTAGGTTTCTTTTCAGGGCAATAAAACTGTCTTAGAACTGGGCGGTGATGATGTTTGTACAGCATTGTGAATGTGCCGAATCCCATTGAATCGCACACTTTAAATGGTTAAAATAGTGCATTTTATGTTATGTGAGTTTTTCTCCAAGAAGAATGTCATCGTATTTCATACTTATGGCGTCACCATTCCCCAGCTCTTGGACCTGCAGGTCCTCCAAGCATTCGATCACTCTAAACAATATTGCATTATATATACATCCGCACATCTTTGTGCATTGTGTATCTGTAGGCCAGCTGCCTTTTAAATACCAATAGGATTCGATTTCCCTGCCTCTGGGCTTGCAGACTCTACCCCACGTTTATTCCCACCCAGGTGGCGGGTGATATGGTGGCAGCCTGGTCCATGAGGACAACAGCCACTTCCAGGAACCTTATCCTCTGCAAATCTCTCCCCCCAGGTTACTGACGTTCAAGGCGTTTGCCCAGCTCTTCATCCTGGGGTGCTCCTGGGTGTTGGGCATTTTCCAGATTGGATCCATGGCCAGTATCATGGCCTACCTGTTCACCATCATCAACAGCCTGCAGGGGACCTTTATCTTCATCATTCACTGTCTGCTCAACCGCCAGGTACAGCACTGCCCTTCCTGAGCCCGTCCTTCTGGGGAACACACCTGTGTCAGCCACGTGCCTGCATCTAGGAATAACTCATCTCCTTGTGACCTGTCTCTTCCTCCAGGTGCGGGAAGAATACAGGAAGTGCATTACCAGGAAGACGAAACGTAGCCCTGAGTCCCAGACCTCAGGGATGTTACTGTCCTCTGTCCCCTCCACCTCTAAATCGGTGAGAGACAGTGTGCTTTATGCAGCTTCCGTTCGAATGGAATTGCCACTTCTTAGCAATACCAGTACTGTGCACGGAGAACCTGCTGTGAGCTGTGTGTCCACGTATATCTGCACATTCGATAAAGTGTGGGGTTCAAGAGTTGGGGTCCAGGAGCCAGGCAGCCTGGGCTCAAATCCCAGCTTTGCCCCATGGTAGCTGTGTGAACTGAAGAAGATAAAATGACTTATATAGATAAAAGATGAGAATACATTAAGGATTTTATTCTACTCATTAATCAGTGAGGAAGTGAGGCAGATGTTAAACTGGCTCAAAAGAAAATTCACAGAACATACATACATATGATGCAATGTATATTATGTATTATGTAATAGGTATCATATATATCTCATATATTGCATACATTATAGATAGTATACATTATATATATATTTACATAATACTTACATATACGTATATATAATGTATTATATATATATAATATATATATATATATTATATATATATACATGTATTACATAAAACAGACATAGGTCTGTTCCTTGCATTCTTTTTTGAACCAGTTATAACATCTTGTCAATAATTTTATAGGGGCACCTGGGTGGCTCAGTTGGTTAAGCGGCCGACTTCGGCTCAGGTCATGATCTCAGTCCGTGAGTTCGAGCCCCGCGTCGGGCTCTGTGCTGCCAGCTCAGAGCCTGGAGCCTGTTTCAGATTCCGTGTCTCCCTCTCTCTGACCCTCTCCTGTTCATGCTCTGTCTCTCCCTGTCTCAAAAATAAATAAAGTGTTAAAAAAAAATTAAAAAAAAATAAATAAAAAATAAAAAAATTTAAAAAAGATAATTTTATATATAATCACAAATATAAATAGAATTATACATATAATTATAGTTATATATTATATAATTATACAGTTATATACAATATATAAAATTTCATATTATATAGTATGAAAGCGAATTATTTAAATGTATGGATTACATGACTTACACTACACATATTTAATTTCAGAAACATTGAAATGAATGTGCAAATGGAAGCAAGACTGATTTTTACACATAATTCCACGATTTTGCATTGCTATCATTGCTATTTAAAATCTACAGAGTTGTAAAATTGCACTTTACACAATAGCTCTCCTATCCCCCATTACAATTTTTTATTTTTTTCACTGATTTATTCCAAGAACAAGTAACTAAGATTCAGTGGCTTAATTAAATAGGAAAAAAACTCATTTTTTTTTTTTGCAAGAATAGAAGCCCAGAGTTAGGTGCTGCTGATATTGGTTATGCTGCTCAGGGGTGTTGGAAAGGATCTAGGTTTTCTCTACTTTTGCATTCCACTATGAGCTTGTTGACTTTTCATCAAATGATTTTCACGGTTGTAAGATGGTTGCCATAGCTCCAGACATCATGACCACATTGAAGGCAAGAAGAGGGGTAGGGAGAAGCCACAAACTCTCCTTCCACAGGAAATAAAACCTTTCCCAGAAACCCCTCATTGGGCTTCCCTTCTACTAATTGGTCAGAACTGTATCACCTGACCATACATAGTTACAAAGAAATTTTACAAAGCAAGTATTTGGCTTTCTTGCTTCTAGAGTGGAAGCTATTAATGGTGAAGAGGTTGAGAATAGCTTTAGAGTTTGTCATCAGTGCCTGCCACACCAGAGACTGCCCTGTTAAAGTTTTAATGTTTATCTTTCTAGTGTTTGTTTCCATATTTCTCTCTCTGTATTTATAAGACCGAAGTATTTCTAAAACCCTTAGACTCACATTGTACTCGTCCTGCTGCTGATTCTAATTCTGATTTCTCTCTCACAGGGCTAAAGATCTTTCTTACTGCCAGTATGCTATGAAGCAACATTTGAGGAAAGCAGATACCTACGGGAGCCTTCTCTGAAATCTCTTCCCGGCTTAATGTGCAGATGTGGGATCCTGCCAGCCCCAGAACTCTCTGGGAAGCAAGAATTTCTGTTTCAGATTATCAGTTCTGCTCTTTGAGTTCCCAGAGTTTTGTGGAAGCAACAGATCCCAGTGCAATGGCATGACCAAGATTATCTGGCTACCATTTTGGTTTCTCCTAAATTCATTGTTGTATGGCTCCAAGTGTACTTCTCCCGCACCCATCATGTGCCTGACACAGAGCAGCCCTCAATAAATTATTTGTCATATGACTGACCGTCTTAGCCTTTGACAAAGATTCCTGCTGCTCTTAAAGAAACAGTCAGTGTCATGGTAATGGTGGCCCCAGGGTATGAATAAAACACTTAGACCTATAGACTACTTTTGTACAAACACTTCCAAGAGCGCTATTGGTGAGTAGGAGCTCTGGATGGGGCAGGACCTCAGTGTTTCATGGAGGGTTGCAGTGCTTGATGGCAACACCCTTTGGAAAGTGTTTTGGTTTCCTGGAACCTTTCAGGGAACCAACATCTCTCTTCCTTCCGGGAACTTTCTTGGAACACGTCTAGGATTCACACAGCTCACAAAGTTATCACCATCCCACCTTGCCCTCCATCCTCCATAAAGTCCTGATTGACAGAGGGAGAAGAGGGAGATAAAAGTCTTAAATGTAGGTGTCCTCTGTGCTCGCTTCGGCTGCACATATACTAAAATTGGACCCATGAAATGTAGAGTCCCCCCTTCCATGACCACTCTAATACCTCCCGACTCAAAGAGTGGTCTGTGGACCAGATACATCAGTATCACCTTGTTAGAAAAGTAGCATCTCAGGACCCACCTCATATTGGCTGAACCAGAACTTGCATTTTAATGAACGCCCCAGGGGATTTGTGTTATACACATGAATGAATGAATGTTCTAGAATATTCTGGAATATTCTTCAGTTTGCCATAATGATAGCAGAGCTTGTCCTTAGAACCAGAAAGGGAAGTATCTTCTTGGCTTTTGGACTTTGCATCTGCCATTCCTTCTTCCTAGGACACCTTTCCTCAAAATCTGGCTAATTTCTACCTTTTCTTGAGCCTTGGTCATCACCTCCATGAAGGAGCATTCTATGAATCTTCTGAAGTAGGATTAGATGTGCCTCTCTGTGTGTCCTGAGGGCTTCATGCTTCCTAGCCCTGTATTAAAATTTCTCTTTCTCTCCAGCATCTCCAGCTTAAAGTGAGCTCTATAATTACAGGGAATTATTCTAATAGATTCTCCTTAAGTATGTTGAATGAATGAGCAAATGAATGATTACTCTCTTTTTTGAGGGTAAGGAAACTGAGGTTCAGAGAGGTTAAATAACTTTCTCAACATCACACAGCCTCAGGTGGCTGAGCTAGGCTGTGAGCTCTTGACCACAGAGCTCCTCTTCCAGACTCCTTGTTCCTCTCCTTCTCTTCCTTTGACCCCAGAAATTTTTAGTTTGAGGATACAGAGGAAAGACTAGATATTTACTTTGAGTCAAGTTACCACCTAAGATTCAGTTAACTTAGTAATGATCATGTGTTGGACAATTTGATAACATTAAACTTGGTTGATGGAGTCTCAGTCTTTTTTTTAAATGTTTATTTTGGGGCGCCTGGGTGGCTCAGTCGGTTGAGCACCCGACTTTGGCTCAGGTCATGATCTCGCAGTCCGTGAGTTCCGGCCATGTGTCGGGCTCTGTGCTGACAGCACAGAGCCTGGAGCCTGCTTCGAATTCTGGGTCTCCCTCTCTCTCCCCCCCACTCATGCTCTGTCTCTCTCTCTCTCTGTCAAAAATAAACAAACATTAAAAAATTTTAATGTTTGTTTTTATTTTTTTTTAATTTTTTAACGTTTATTTTATTTTTGAGACAGAGACAGAGTGCTATTGGGGGTGGGGCAGAGAGAGAGGGAGACACAGAATCCAAAGCAGGCTCCAGGCTCCAAGCCATCAGCACAGAGCCCGACGCAGGGCTCGAACTCATGAACCGTGAGCTCATGACCTGAGCCGAAGTCAGAAGTTCAACCAACTAAGCCACCCAGGTGCCCGGAGGCTCAGTCTTTATTATTTATGGCAGTCACAGTTTGAGAAGGAAGCTGACACATGAGTTCATCTAAGGTAGGTTGGTCTTCAGGGCTTGGCTTGTCCATAGTGTTCAATACAGAGGCGACAGTTCTAAGGGGTATTGAAGCAAGAGACGGCAGGACTCCTACCCATCACCACTTGCGGTAGGTTGATCGCACCCATGGCCTCAAGAGGTGGCCTGTATCTCTTCACACCCCTTCCCCGTTACTTTGTAACCTCTTTCTGCTCTCACTCTGGCTTGGCCTTAACACCTGCTTCGGTCAAGAGAATGATCAAAGACGGAGGGTTTTGAAATTGGGTGTGCATTCCTTCTTGCTCTCGACATGATTAGTTTTCCTTGTTCTTGCGTCCCTGCCTCCGCCCTGAGAACATACCCCACTCACCTGCTGGAGGGGTGTGAGAGACATGGAGGAGAGTTACATCATCCCGTTATACCAGCTGGGGCTGTCCTCAGTCAGCCAGCTGGCTGACTTGTAGCCACATGAGTGAGCCCAGCTAAGATTAGCAGAGCTGTTCAACCAACCCATAGACTCAGGAGTAGCAAGCATCATTGCTTTAAGGCATGGAGTTTCACAAGTGGTTTGCTCTGAAGTGTTATTTGTAGTAATCACACTTCAAATACAGTAACCAATGGATCATCAACATTTTGTATTTAACTGCAACAATTTGGAACCTATGAGAAGAAGGATTTGGGTCTTCATTTCCTCTTCGCTATCAGGACCTATACATTTGTGATGCTTAAAGTTCTTTCTGATGCAAGACTTGCACAAAGCTTTGTCATTATGACAGTGTTACATGTTGCTCTAAAATACAGTCACCTTAAGGAACCCTATATTTCTAAAGTAAAAGCTGTGGCTTTCACGGGAAGAATTTTTCTTACTATAAACATCAAGCTACATTTGGTACAATCCTTTGCCCCCTGCAACTTCATGTACCTCCACTAGAGGGACAAAAGGGACTCAAAACCTGCACAGTCCTCAGATCCCATAAATATAAAATCCAATCATTCAAGAAATATTTGTTGACCATCTACAGTGTGCTCCCCCCAGAACATTAAAGTAGGTGAAAAACGATTGAAAAACTGAAAAGTTAAGGGTATTAGAGCTGAAAACAGTTTCAACATTTTAATTTTGCCCAAACCAGAATTTATTAAAATTTTACTTTCTTAGTTTTAAGGGAAGTAAACTCAATAATATTTCCAAAAATCAAGGTACACTAAAGGGGAGGGGGGGTAGGTGGCTCAGTCGGTTGAGTCTCTGACTTCGGCCCAGGTTATGCTCTCACGGTTCGTGGGTTCAAGCTCCGCATCAGCACAGAGCCTGCTTCAGATTATCTGTCTCTCTCTCTCTCTCTCTCTCTCTGCCCCTCCCCCGCTCACATTTTTTCTCTCTCTCTCAAAAATAAAATAAAACATTTGAAGAAAATTTTTAAATAAGTAAATAAAAAGTACATTAAGAAAGTGTATGTAAGGGCACACATTTTTCTCTTTGGCCTCTGGTTCCATTATGACCAGGCACAGTACTGGGTATTCTGGATGCTTATCATGGGTTTTCTTGTACTGACCCTTGTTGTTTTCAAATGTTGTGTTGTAGTATTTCTCTTGATTCCTGAAGGGATTCCCTTCTTTAAAACTGCGCTGAGATGAGTGCTGTCTTCTCCTCACGTTTGTGCTGGCCCTGACTGTGACCTGACCATGTGGGGGCCAGATTTATAGCTAGTTTCTCAAGAAATGGGATATCTTTAGGGGCGCCTGGGTGGCGCAGTCGGTTAAGCGTCCGACTTCAGCCAGGTCACGATCTTGCGGTCCGTGAGTTCGAGCCCCGCGTCAGGCTCTGGGCTGATGGCTCGGAGCCTGGAGCCTGTTTCCGATTCTGTGTCTCCCTCTCTCTCTGCCCCTCCCCCGTTCGTGCTCTGTCTCTCTCTGTCCCAAAAATAAATAAAAAACGTTGAAAAAAAAATTAAAAAAAAAAAAAAGAAATGGGATATCTTTGGCACGTTTTGCTTAAAAACACTTGATTATTAATAATACTCTGTTAGTCACACCTGCCTGTATGTAAAGGGAAAGCCATAATGTGACCTTGACAGCTGTCTCATGCCTACCCCAGGGTGACCTAGAACAGGTATGCCTATGCTATTGTGAAATATTTATTTATTATTTATTTTGCACTTGTCACATTGTTAACATCTTTTCAGCTCATCAAGCCTTTTTAAAAGGCTTTTGTGTTGATGGTTGTATGGTTATCTGTGGTATACATGTGTCATCATGTATTTGATCTGAGCTCTGTCATCTCCAAGTTTTCAGTATAAACAATGCTTTAAGGAAGGTCTTTGAGCTAAATTTAAAATGGTCTACTATTTAAGTGCTTTTAAGGGTTACTAGGAGGTTGTGCGTGGAAAGAAGCTTGTATGTCTTCCTTAATGTCTGGTTGAAAAAAAAACAAACATAACTGTCCCAAAGCCATCAAAACTTTCCCAAACCATCAAAAAAGCCATTAGAAACACAGTAATTTGAAGTTTACTTAGGGTGTACCCATAGAGAAGCTTTCCGTCATCACTTCTGAGTCATCTGGTCACCTCCCTGCCTTAACCTTTCCATTCTATTGTGCTAAGGCTATCAACTTTGGTCTGTTATAATCAGGTGTTCACGTGTTTTGTCTCTATCCTATGAGTCCCTTGTCTGATTTATCTCTGTATGCCTATGACCCAGCAGAAGATTGGGCTCACAGATCAAATCTACAATGTTTGTTGAGTGAATGCACCAAGAGAGTGTTGCATCTGCTCCACAGTAACAGGACAGTGTTCTGATATTCTGGCCTCTTAAGGACAAGTTCTCTGGGTTTTCCAAATCATTTCCTGCTCTTGCCCAACAACTAAAACAGGACCCTTTTATGCTTCCAGTAACAACAATTCCATGCTAATTCCATTACTAGCACTATTTCTAAAATGGCAATAGGTGACTTAGGGAAGGTTTCCTAAAAGCAGAGCCTGAGACAAGGATTTTGGTGTCCATGATTTATTGAGGGAGTGCTCTGAGAAGAGAGAAAGGGA